GCGCGGAGCCGGCGGTAGTGCCCGCACCGGGGCCCCCCCGGGAGCATGGGCTGCATCGGCTCCAAAACCACCATCGGTGGGTGAGCGACACCGGGATGGGACCGGGGATTTGGGGGAGTAGGGGGTCCTAGGGTATGGAGGGTGTTAAGGGAACTTGAGGATGGGGAAGGGGGTGTGCTGGGGCTGCTGGGGGCGGCCGAAGGGCTGCAGGTGATACGATGGGGCTGTGGGGGGCTACGGAGGCTGGGGGATATGGGAAGGTGAAGAGCAGGGAGCTGAGGGGGATCCAGGGAATGGAGCGATGGCGCATGGGGATTGGGAGGCTGTGAGGGCTGTAGGGTAGGCAATTACAGAGGTGGGGGGGTGTACGCAGAATTGGGGTATCTAAGTGTGTTGTGTATACAGAGAGCTTGAGGGCTCTGGAGGACTTTGGTACATAAAGGGTGATGGGGGCTATAGATGGCTGGGGGTTTGGAAGCTGGGGCTGCTGCTCTGGAGCAGCTGGGTGACCCAGGGAGTGCAAGGAGATATGGGGGGGTGTGGATGTGTAGAGGCTGGGGCGATTGGAGTGATTGGACTGCAGCTCTGGGGGAGCTGAGGGGTGGGGGTGCAAGGGGGCTGGGAAAGGAGTGTGGGACTGGGGTCCTGGTTAGAGCCCTGAGAGGTTATGGGGTAGCTGTGAGAGAGTTGTTCGGGGGGCCGTTGGAGGCTGGGGTTTGCTGCAGTGTGTGGGGTGCTGCAGATGTCCTGGGGGTGCTGCAGGAGGGATGGGGGCTGTGATCAGAGGGTGTTCTGGAGGCTGGGTTCGTGGGGGCTAGGACAGTGTGTTGCAGACATGCTGGAGGGGCCCTGGGGGTGTTGTTGCTAGGATGTCACCACAGGGTGCCCCTGCCCACAGCTGGGAGTGGGGGCGATCCTCTCTGCAATTTCCCAAGGAAGCCAGGGTGTACCCTCAGATGTGGGTGGGAGGCAGCACTTTTGAGCTTCCCTGTATCCCACCTCACAGCTGGTTTACGTCAACCAGGCCCACCTTGGTGCAGGGGAAATTAAGCTCTTGAGGAATATCCTGTCTTGGCCTGTTTGGGACTGGCCTTTCATGGCAACTGCATTGATAGGAGACCCCCAGTGCTTGGGAGTCAGTGCCTGAAGGTGTGGGCACCCATCCAGTTGAGGTGCCAGTGCCAGGAGGTCAAGCTGTTGCGGCAAAAGATGGGTGCGGGTGCTTTTACTGACTCTATCCCTTCTTGCTTCTTTCCTTCCTGACCCAGTGGCAGGAGATAGGAGAGGGGGATTTTGGAGATAGTGTAGGAGCAGCAGCTCCTGCAAATATGGCCCAGTGCTGTCTCCCTTCACACACTGAGCACCTGGCACAGTCCAGCCTGGTCCACCTCTCCCACAGCAGCTGCCAAGCTGGGACAGGCGCCTGGTCCCTAGTGCCAGGCTGGGGACGCGCGTTACCGCTGACACAGGCGGAAGGGTTGCCCGGGCATGAGTCACCAGTGCCGCAGCAACGAGTTGTGTCTGGTCTCAGACTGGACAAGAAGCTGCTACCACAGGGTCAGTGGGTGGGTGACAGAGAGGTCTGCTGGGGAAATGGAGGTGCTGAGGTTGGCCTCGGCTCTTCCTGCAGTGGCTGTGGACACGACGCTGTGTGTGGAGTGGAAGGAGGTGAAGGCACTGTCACCCCTGAGTGTTGCCCGCCCGCTGCCCCGGCTGGTGCGCCAGGCCTCCTTCGACAGCCAGGACTTCCTCCAGGTACCACCGAGCCCAGCCATGCCCGGCTGAGGTAGCCATGTGCTGGTACCCCATGGCGGGGCACCCGTCCTGGCCATGGCCCTGCCAGCTCTCAGTGGCTCGGGGCTGCTCTGACGTCAGCCATGAGCCGGGCTGTATCCTGGGAGAAATCAGTCCACGGTGCCTCGTTGCCATGGCAATGCAATTTGTTGCGCGCCTCCAAATCCCACATCACTTCCCCCGTGGCCATGGGCTCAGGGCCTGGCATGGCTGGGATAGCAATGGGGCCATACAACAGGATGTCCTGGCGTGGTGTGGGCTGCCAGGGAGTGGGTGCTGGGGAGCCAGGCTGTGGTGGTCTTGCACGTGCACGTGTGCGTGCATAAGCTGGGGAGGGCACACGTGTGTGTGACACCATCTAGCACGGGGCACGTACACAAGTGAGCACACACGAGCATGCAGGTGCACGTGTGTGCACAGTGGAGTTCAGGAGTGAGTGTGCAGGTGTGTGTTTATGGTCAGCTTGTGTGTTTGAGTACCTGCCTGTGTGTGTGGGCACGTGTGGTGACCTGAGCAGGCATGTGCAGGTGTGTACACAGTGTCAGCATACTGACACTGTGGGAGTGTGCCCTGCTGTGCCCACCGCTCTGCACACATGTATGCCTGTAATGTGTGTGTGCACAAACACCCCAGGCCCCCTGGGGTAGGCACCGAGCAGGGCCAAGCCCTCTTCTGGAGCGTGGGGCTCCCAGGAGGGGAATGGTGCTAGGGCTGTGACCACACTGCCACTCTGGCAGGTCAATGTTGAGGACACTGTCGAGATGCTGCCCAAGTCACGGCGCGCGCTGACCATCCAGGAGATTGCTGCCCTGGCCCGCTCCTCACTGCACGGTAACTGCTCACCCAGGGGCTCATCTGGGAAAGGGGGCTGTCCTGAGGTGTCTGGGCCTCTTGTGGGGGGCCTGGGTGTCACCTGTCTGGAGTTTTGAGGGAGCCCAGGGGTTACTGGTGGCACTCAAGAGGAGGACATAGGGGTGCCAGATCCCATGGACTGGAGGTAGGGAGTGCTGGGTCCCAAGGTTATGGGCTCTGTGGTGGGAACTTAGTGTGCCTCAGGGCACGCTGACGTTGGGGCACATCCCATAGGCATCTCACAGGTGGTGAAGGAGCACGTGACAAAGCCAACGGCCATGGCACAGGGCCGTGTCGCCCACCTCATTGAGTGGAAGGGCTGGTGTAAGCCAGTGGAGTCACCTTCTGCCCTGGAGAGCGCCTTCAGCTCCTACTGCCACCTGAGCGAGGGCGAGCAGGAGGCGCGATTCGCTGCTGGTAGGCACCGTGGGCACGGCTGGAGGGCATGGTCCCCACTGCAGCCCAGGGCAGGGGTGGTGGGGTGGGTTGTCCCCATCCATCCATCCATCCATCCATCCATCCATCCATCCATCCATCCATCCATCCACCCATCCATCCATCCACCCATCCATCCCATGGCACTATGGGCAGAGAGGTCCCAGGGCAGTGGGATTTTGGGAGTGCCTCCCTGTGTGTGTTCAATCCGTGCCTGTCCTGTGCCAGGTGTGGCGGAGCAGTTTGCCATTGCTGAGGCCAAGCTGCGAGCCTGGTCCTCAGTGGATGGGAACGACTCCAATGATGAGTCCTATGATGAGGACTTCATGCCCTCCACGGAGAGCTCCCAGCCCACCGGTAAGTGCCGTGGGGAGTGGGCAAGTTGTCTCATTGCTGGTGTGGGTTTCCCACCACTGTGGGTTAAAGGAACAGGATGCTCGCTGCCTGGTCCATTCCCCAGCCTGGCCATTCCCATACAGGGCAGTGCCCCTGCCTGGCACCCTGGCAAACAGTGCCTGAGCCAGGGATGGGGAAGCCCTTAAATGCAACACCTCTGTGGTGCCAGAGAGTGTTTTGCTTTTCCTTTGCTGGTGACTAGTGCCATGCATGCAGCAATTTGTGGGCAAAGCAGGTACGGGACTGCTCCCAACCTGTGAGGCACAGGGCAGGGTGCAGCTGCCATCCCTGGTGCCCTCAGCCCTGGACTGACCCAGACATCCTGGTTTCCCACAGAGCTGACAGGCACGATGCCCGCCAGCGCGCTGCTGCGAGACCTGCTGCAGGGCCACCTGTGCCAACTGGGCGTGCGGCACGGCTCCTGCGAGCCCGAGAGCGACTCCTCGCACACCCTCTCCCCTGAGACTCTCTGCTCCAGCCTCTGCAGCCTGGAGATGGTGTCCCCCTCTGAACTCACTGCCAAACTGCTGGGCTCCCTGGGGGGCGAGGACCTGCTGCTGCCCAAGCTGCCGCCCCCAGCCAGCCAAAGTGCCTTGCGGGGCCTGGCACGGCTCCGGTGCCAGGACTCCCTCTACTCCGTGTCCTACGCCGAAGCCTGTCTCTCACCCACGGAGGACGAGGTGGTGCTGAGCAAGGACTTCCCACTCCGCCGGAAAATCTCTGACGTCGCCTCCTCTGGGGTGGCATCGCTGGAGGAGGAGGAGGCTGAAGAGCCCTGATGCCTCCTGGGGTGCCCTGCCTCTCCTGGTGGGGGTCCAGGTCCCCTGCTGAAGCCCTCTGGCCAGACCCCATGCTGGGTGAGGGACAGGCCCTGCCACTGCTCCCCCTCGCTATTTGGGTGCAGGAGGGGTCCGGGGGCGACTGCAGCACCCCCAGCCAGTGTGCCCCCACTGTGCCCCGGCCCTGCTTGGCCACATCGTTGCCCTCCTGGATTTTTGCATGAGAGCAGGGAAGGGGTGCAGGGAAGGGCTTGGGGGGGTCTGTCCTCTGCCCTGATGCCCAGATGTGCCCCCAAAAACTGACAAGACTAAATAAGTGGGGCTTGTTGATCGCATGTTCTCCCCCAACCCATCCTGGGCTCCCCTTTTGGGCACAGTTCCCTCTCCCATAATGGCATGGCTGAAACTCTCCAATCATCCTGTGGTGCCTCCACCACCCCAAGCCAGGGTGGGGGTGGGGGTTTTGGTGTGGGAAGGGCTTTTCTCCTCTCTCCCTGGCCAACTTTCATTGGACCGAGTTTAAAACTGTGAACTGCTGCCTTGGAGCATGGAGCTGCTGGAGGGGTGCTGTGGGAGTGCCAGGGGTGCTGGGGGGCCGTGGATGTGCTGCGGTGCTGGGACTTTCTATACTTTTGTACGTGCATGGGGCTGACACAGGAAGACTGCAGGACCAGGTGGGTGCAGGCCCCCAGGCTGGGGGCTTTGGGCCACCAGGAGAGCAGCCTCTGTCCAGCCCTGTGGCAAGGGGGTCAGCCCAGCCAGGGGTCCCCTAGTCTGCTGTGTGGCAATGCAGGGTGGAGAGAGGGGGTAGGATGTGGGACCAATGTTCCTGTCCACAAGTCACCCCTGGCAGGGAACCAAGTGCCTACATGAAGGGCGGCCAGCCCCCCCCCGTCCTGGCTGGGGGTGGCACCCCCCCCTCGGGGAACCCCCCAAGCCCACGTGAGGGGTTCCAGGCACGTCGTTTGGGGGAGGAATGCCAGTTTTTGCCAACGCTTGCGCACCCCTTCCTGCATGGCATGTGTTCTCGTGGGGCCACTCTCCCCCTGCATGCTGCTCCTCACCCAGCCCAGTCACTGTTCCCTGTCCCCATGCCCCGGGATGCACCCTAGCACCTCTGCTCCCCTGCATCCCCCAGCACCCCCACTGACCCCTGCCGGGCACAGCTCCTGTTCTCCCGCCCTGCCATGGGCTGCCCGGTGTGGGGCTGGTCCTCCCTGCCCTGCATCACCGAGGGGCTGCAGGGTCCAGCAGGCCCGACACCATGCTGATGGCTCCCTGCCACCCGCTTCCGCTCGCTCCCGGGGGCAGTGGATGCTCCCCACGGTACTGGGATGGGCCGGGGGGTGCAGGCTGCCTGTGGATGGGTGGGGGGCTTTGCTCTGTGTGTGTGTGCATGTGCACACCTGGGAGCGCATGGGCATGTGCACGCGTGTGCATATCCGTGGGAGCTGCCTGAGCCCCCCCCGCCCCGCTGTGGCGGTACCTGTGGAGTATCCGTGGGGTGCCCATACCATGGCACCCCCTCCTCCATCCTGCCAGGTCTTGAATAAAGTCAATTGTGCGAGCACTGCGCCGGGTGCCTCTTCTTGCATGTGCGGGGCACCCCCTCCCCAGGGGGCTGGGGGGTGGCAGGCCATCCGTGGCAGGGATGCATCCCCTTCTGCGGCCCCACAGGGTGACGGAGGCCTCGTCCCTTATCTCGCATTCCTACAGACAGGGTGCCTAATTATGGGCATCTAGCGGTGGTGGCTGGCGGGCGGGCGGCTGGACCCTCCCCACGGCAGGGCCTTGGGGGGCGCGGGCAGCAGGCACCATGGCATCGCTCAGCTCAGCCTCCACGTACCGCGCCGAGCTCCTCAGCGCCTACGGGCAGGGGCACAGCGAGCCCCGCTTCGAGGGCGACCGGCGGCACGGACCCTCTGGGCCGCGGGGACAGGAGGCGTTTGGGTACCCAGGTACCGGGTGTGGAGGGAGGGGGAGCCCTAGGGTGCGGCGGCTCTGCTACCCTGGGGATGCCCCCCAGGGGTTATCTAGCTCACCTGTGCCTGGGGCTAGCGTACGACCCTCCCCTCAGCTTGGGAGGGATCAGAAGGGAGCCCTGACTGCCCCCTGGGTACCCCATGGCTCTCTGGTCTGTCCTCCAGCTTTTACTCCCCAAGTGCTTTTGTACACCTGCTAACTCCAGTGTTCCTGCTGTCCCCAGGACCACCACGCTGTCTCCTCCCCCTCCCCAGACCCTTTTGATCCTCCTTTTGTCCCCAGAACCCCCTACAGCTTTTCCTCCCCAATCCAGACCATCCCAGCTGCCCTTATGTCCTCAGCTCCCCTGTCCTCACACCCTTTGATGTCACCTGCTAGGCCCCCACTTCTTGTACAGCCCCAGTAATTCCAGTGTCCTCTTCCCCCGCAGCTCACCCTCCCCAGACTCTCGTGGTCATCCCCAGTGTCTTCACCTTCCTGTGCCTCAGGTTGTCTAGTGCCCCTGGAATCTCCCAGGCCCTCAGGTGCCTCCAGGCCACCAGTACCCCCTGCAATTCCCCAGCACCTTCAATATCCCCAAACTCCCACTGCCTCCTGCTAGCCCCAGCCCTCCCAGTCCCCCAGTGTCACCAGACTCTCCCACACCTCCCAGTCCTCCAGCCCCTGAGCACTGTGGCCCCATGCCCAGCAGCCCTCCAATGCCCACAGAGTCCCCAGGTGCCATGTACCCCTGCAGCCTGGGCACCTGGGTGCGTGCCCAGGGTGACACCTACCAAGTGGTGGCCGACGTCAGCCAGTTTGAGCCCCCTGACATTGTGGTGACCACCTCCAACTGCCATGTCACCATCCAGGCAGAAAAGGTGAGGAACCCGAGGGGGCAGCATCCCCCTCAGCCATGGCACAGTGTGGGTTCTGTCCTGTGACACCCCCTCCTGCAGGTGGTGGGGACAGGGTGGTAACTGGGAATAGCCCTTGCTAGCACTGGGGTAAATGGGAGCTGTGCCCCAATGACGGGGTAATAGGTCCTGCTCATTCCTGTTCTGTACTGGCATAACTGGGAACTGTCCTCACTGAGAATGGGACAACTGGGAACTCCTGCTCCATTGCCTTCTCTGCTGGAGGTGGCATGTGGGAACAGTCCCTGCTGGCACTGGAGTAGCTGGAATTTACCCCACAAGCCAAGACTTGGGCAGCAGAGGCCTACTTCCTGCTGGCAATGGGGTAACTGGGAATTGCCCTGGAGTCACTGGGATCTTCCCTACTGAACCCCCTGCTGGAGCCAGGGTGACTGGGAATTGCCCCATTAGAAGCACTGGGGTAACTGGGAATGTGCTGTGGGCCTCACCATGCCACACTGAGTTCCACTGCACCGGTGCTGCTTCCCCACAGGTGGCTGCGGATGGCACTGTCTGTGACACCTTCACGCACAAGTGCCAGCTGCCCGAAGACACAGACCCACTGTCGGTGAGCTGCACCCTCACCGAGGCTGGCACGCTGGTCATTACTGTCCAGCGCCGCGCCACTGCTGCAGGGCAGCCCCCGCAGCTGCTGTACCGCAGTGAGGCCATGCTGTGAGCGGCTCTGGGTGACAAAAGGCTCCTTGCCTGGAGTGATACCAACCCCAGCACTGTGGTGAAGCTCAGCTGGTGCCCACTGGCTGTGCTCCTCTCCACCTTCAGCCCCATAGTGCTTCAGCTCTGTTTATAAAGTCCTTTTATTAAATTAATATAAAAATCTCTGTATTTACATGGGAAGAGGTGCATGGCAGAGAGGCAGCAGGACCCTCTCTTCCCAGCCATGAGGTGCTGAGCACAGGAGGCAATGCCCACCCATGTTCCTGTGGACACCCCAACCTGATGCCCCTCTCTGCCCCTGCCACCCCAAGAAGGGACATTGTGGTGCTCATGGAAGGTGTGAGGGCAGTGGCCATTCTGGGGGCACCAGGGGCTCGGGGGTACAGAGGTAGCAAAGTGGGAAGCCCCAAGAGCTGGCAGGTAGTTGGGGAGTAGGGGCTGGCTGAGGGACATTTGGCTGGTCCCCAGCCCAGCAAGGGGGCAGAGGCACTGGACTGACAGTGCCCACTCCTGTGCTGAGCCTGGCATCAGTGGGCTCAGGGTGGGCATCCCCCAGCACCAGCCAGGGAGCCCTTGTGGTTTCTGGGGACACGGTGGGGGTGGATCTCAAGGGTCTCACTGGCCCCTGGGGGTGTCGTCATCATCATCGCCCCCAGGACCAGCCTCGCGGGGCATGTGGTGGTGCTGGTGGCGATCCCAGAGCTGGCGCAGGGCGGTGGTGTCGGCCTCAGTGGTGCTGGCGGTGCTGTCACGGAAGCTGGCGAGTGGCGGGCGCACCTTCACCCCCTTGCCTGTCAGCGAGCCCTCGATAGCCTTCCGGAGCTGCGGGGACCCCAAACCCATGGGCAAACAGCTCCAGGTGCTGCTCTGTGCCCCTCCAGCCTCCCTGTCCCCTGCTCACCTCCTTGAGGGACACCATGCCCACCAGCCGCCCAATGCTGGTGACGAATGCATGGTCCAGGCCCAGCAGAGAGAAGATGGTGTGGGTCTGCAGGAAGAGGGGGCTGTAATGAGGGTCTGGGGGTTGTGGGTGGGGGCCTGGGGTGGGGTGTGGGCGCACCTTGTGCAGCGAGGTGTGCTCCACCAGCTGGAAGGGCGCAGGGTCGATCTTGGCACTGCTGAAGTCCACCAGCTGGTCCAGCTGCTGTTCTTCCCACTCCAGGATCTGAGGAGGTGCCATTGGGCAGGGTAAGGGATATGGCATCCCCACAAGTGCCAGCAAGGGCCCTCCCGTCCTCCTTACCCCCAGTTTTATGGAGAAATCTGGGTTACCCACCCCCTACCTCCCCATGCCCACCCCATGTTCTGGCACCCCTTTGGGATGTCTGGGATCCCTCTGAGCAGAAGGGTCCTGCCTGTCTCTGCCCAACCCCTCACCTCTGCTGGGGTCATCTTGTCACCCAGAATCATCTCCTCCTGCAAGAGAGGTGTGTTGGAGCAGCCATGAGGGTGGCAGGCGGTGCAGCCGCATCGGGCTGCAGGCAGGGTGCAGCGAGGGTGCAGGCAACACATGGGCAGGTCAAGTAGCATGATTGGTTGACAGGACATTTGGTCACACCCTGATTGGCCACAGTTGGACAAGCCAAGCTTGTGATTGGCAGAGAGAATGCAAGGTGTGCCATGATTGGCTGAGCAAAGTGGGGTAGATCCTGTGGTTGTGATGGCTGGGAAGCTCCATGTCCCAATTCCTGGCAAAGTTTGGGATGGGGAAGTTGCACACAGGATTGGTTGGAGGGAATCGTAACTGTCCAAGAGGGACTGCACAGATATAGACCCAACGGGATTGGCCAAGCAGAATCTTGCAAGGCCCCTGATTGGTTCATAGAACTCCTGCCAGGCTCTGATTGGCTGGAAGGAGCTGTGCCCAGGCTGCGATTGGCTGCAGCTTACCACAATGGAAATGCGGACGCGTTTAGCCTTGTGATGGGCTGTGCCCTGAGCCTGGCCCGTGGAAGATACAGCAGTTAAGGGATGGGATGGGATGGGATGGGATGGGATGGGATGGGATGGGATGGGATGGGATGGGAGGGGATGGGATGGGATGGTGACAAAAGGAGAGGTGACTC